CGGGCTCCCTTGGATCTCTTTCTTTCTCTCTCTGTCTCTCTCTCTCCTTTTTTTTTCTTTTTTTTTTTTTTCCTCCCCCCCTACCCCCCCTCTCTTTAATGGAGTCGAGAGGACAGGAATCAAGCCGGTAATTTTCTTTTTTCGTTCTGATTTCTTTCTGTCAGAGAGATACTGCGCCCTAGGTGTGGAGGAGTGTGGCGGGATGCAGTGGGGTGTCTGTCCTCAAATCTCGGCTCTTCTGTGCTCCTAAATCCCTTAGATGTGATCTGATCAACAATTGAGCTCCAACTGATGTGTCTGCCCTTAGGTCCTAGGCTGATCTTTCAGATACAATTTGAAGTTGATGTTTTGATTGGCATCCACTTGAGCCGCAAGCGCCGCCCCGCGCCCCCCCGCGCCCCCCTCGGCGCAGCACGTGGTGCGCAGCTCAGCCCGGGCCACTTTCCTCCGTGTGTGAGTGCGTGTGCGTGTGTGTGTGTGCGTGTGTGTCCGCGCAGCTGCCGTGCCGTGTGTGTATTTAATGTTTAGCAATGGGCTCCTTTCAGAAAAGCCCCCACTGCTGTATGACAACCTGTCTACACGATTTTACAGCTGTCCAACATTGGGGTTTTGCTGTTTCGCAGCCTCAGTGTGTCCCCTTTTAACAAAAACAAGTGTGTTTCTGTTTTCTTTCTTTCTTTCTTTCTTTCTTTCTTTTTTTTTTTTTTTTTTTTTTTTTTTTTTTTCTTTTCCACCACCTTTAACATTGAGTCCCCCTTGTCGCCGTTGTTGGACTGGGGAACAAATGAGAGCGACCGTGAGAGGAAAAAGGGCTTTGTAGACGGGCAGCCTGGAACAATTTACCACCAAAAAAGAAATTACAAAAAATATATGTTAAAAAAAAAAAAAAAAGAAAGAAAGAAAAAGCAGCAAAGCAGATAAGTAAATAGATAAAGGGTGGCTGCCTCTAGCAATCCATCAACGCCACACAGCCCCTATAACTTTGCTGAAAGTCGAAAGGCTTCGAGCTGTACTCCATAGAAATCTTTAGTTCATAATAAAAAAAAACAAAAAACAAACGACCCTCAATGATGCCCCTCTAACCCTAACCCCACCTTCCCCCGCCGCTCCTCTCATGTTTTGCCGACCGACCCACACTCGGGGACAACTATCAGAGGCATTGCGACAGTCCCCGCTGTCTCGCTGAGAAATAATCCCGCAAATCAACGGTGGCGACGTGGGCGCGGAAGGCTCAGAGCACCCCCAGCCCTCACCCCCGGGCGGGGGCGTTTGGAGGGCTCGGGGCTGTCCGAACTTCCAGAGCAAAGGAAGTGTTGGGCCGCGGGGGGAGGACCCAGCGGGCTGCTGCCTCCGTCATTAGCTGCAGGGATCAGCGGCGGGGATGCGTTTTCCTTCTCTTCCCCCTGTCCCTGCAGCGCCGGGTGGAAGGTGCAGCGGCAGACAAAGGACCCCTCGAGGAGGGACCGAGGGGCTCGGCCTCCCTGAAGAACACGAGCTGTCATTGTGACTTGCCCTCTTGTTACGCCGGCTTCCTCGACGTGGCTCGCCCCAACCGCGCTGGGGCCGGCGGCTTCGCCAATTTTTCAACCCTTGGATGGGGAGCGCGGTCGCCCCGACCCTTTTAGCCTAGAGGCGCTGCCCGGGGGAAGCCCGGCGGAACAGAACGAAAGGACGAGGGGCGATTGTCCCCAGCCCGGGGGCTTAGCCGCACATCTCTTCCTCGAGGCACGGGGGAGGGGGGAGGGGGGTAGCTTTAACACTGCCTGCAGGAATCGTTTCCGTCCCTGAGAGTTAGCTCAACTTCTTTCCCCCATCAGCTGGACGCAGCGAGCTTTCACCTCCGTATCCCCAACAGGGAGAGAGGAACCACCCCCGCACTGCTCTCCCCTGGTTCCAAAATCTCACCCTCATTGCAGGAGAGCGACCCTCACACAAAGCTGAGAGGGGCATGAGAGCTGCAGCGAGGTTTGGCGGCCGGCAGAGTCACGTTACAAGGGCTGCAGGTAAAGGAAGGTGGGAGAATGCACTGCCGCTGCCGAAATCTTCTTAGCGCTTCAGATCTGGGTGGAATCCAGAAAAGGTTTCCACTCAGAGGCTTAAGAAATGTGAGTCACCCCCTCCCCCATCCACTCCCATCCCGCTCAAAAGAAAAAAGAAAAAAGTATCACTTGCTTTTCTATCAGCCCAGTATCTTTTGGGGGCGAACTGTGCTATTCTTCACCTGGAAACAGAGCAAGTAAAGAAAGTGCGGTATACCTGGAGCAGTGGTTTGGGAAAGAGGAAAAAAAAAAAAAAAAAAAAAAAAGAGGGCAAAATAGGAAGGATGAAATTAAGAAAGAAAAAGGAAGGGAACCCGCCGAGGAGGGAAAAGTTGCAGGGCTGGGAGGAGACCTTTGTTTCTCATTTGCAAAGTTCCCGGCGCGGGGTAAAGAGCGGGGTCCTGTGAGCGCCATTCATTAAGCTGTGCTCAGTAAAGGCGAAGCCCTCAGCGTGCAGCTCCCACTTCTGTATTGGACAGTGCCCGTCTTCCTGACGGGTTATTAAGTCACTTTCTCAGAAAACCTTTCGAAGCCTTTTTAATTTTTTTTCCCCCTTGTGCAAGTAAGCAGGGACTAGAGCCGCTATACTAAGCTACTTAGGTTGAAAATCAGTTTAGCGAAGTCTGTAGATCCTGGGTTTATTCCCCCTCCTTTCCCCCCCTTACTCCTCCTTTCCCTCCCCCCCGCCCCCCCCCCATACAGGAGCAATAGCTGGAGCTTAATCAGAAAAGTGTGCAAAGAACTAAACTGTACGGAAAACTGAAAACATCAGCTGCTGCCGGAAAGCATGGGGAAAACCTTTCCCTAAAGCTAAACAGTCCAAAAGGTTGGTGTGATCACTCCTCTCCCCATAAATTTGCTTGAAATTTTCAAGAGATGGAATACGTTTTCGAAACGGTGATTTTAAACATAATTCGGGTTATAGATATATATGCAGCTTCTTCCTTCTAATTATCATTATTTTTTTCCTGAGCCCCGTGTTTTAGATTCTCCAGTGTCTCCTTAACTTTCGGCAGATTCTAAAGAAAAGGAGCGCGGTGCCAACTCATTAGCTCCGAGGAGTCCCGTAGCGAAGGAGGAACTGGGATCAGAGTGGGACACTGTCACCTTTCCTCTGGGGAGCGGACGCCCGTCTGAAAACAAGCGGGAGAGAAATAGATAGCGGCGCTGGGTGTAATGTGATTACACCTAAGGTAATCGCTTAAAATAAATTGTATACTGTTTAAAGTAAATCGACCTAAATGGCCACGCTCGTATAATTCAGAGATCATTGGGTAGATAAAGTTCTCCTTAAAGAGCCTTTCTCGAGAAGCGGTTTGCTAAGACAGTGGGCTCCTTCCAGTTTCTTAAGGCGATGCATCTGCTGCCAAGAGATTTTCTTTTTATTATGAACAAATCAGTTGAGATAGGGGTCCGATAAGAAATGCAAATCCAGACATAGGGGTCGCTGCTTGGCCGAATTTTAACCAAAGGCTGGTTCTGCAGGAACTGACTGAAGGCGATGTCTGCGGAGCTCGAACACTGACTCTACTAAAAAATGAAGTCAGTGATTTTGATCTGCTCCAGATGTCCTAAGAGTGGATATTGCAGTGCTGGGAATCCGCACCAAATATCTCAGGGCACTGATGGTAATCAGCACAACACATCAGCCAGAGGGGACTGGCAATTGTGATAACCTGCTGCAAATGTGCAGGGCTGGAGATGGCAGTGATAAACCGCTGAAAATATCTTCAAATGGAGATGACAGAAACGTTGAAAGGAGACACCTAACTATGGGGAGGATAAGATACTGAGCAGAGCACAATTTGAGAATGGAACTCTGATATTTATTAGGCTACGCTTCAGCCGCGTAATTTCCACGCATTTTGTGCTGTATCTGCATAGGGATACACGTGCTCACGGAGCTGCGAGCAAAACGCGGCGCTCTTAATAAATCGACCCAAAAAGAAAGAGAAGCTTAAGCACTACAGCGCCTGGTTTAGGGCTGGAGAAGAAAAAAGTTTTCCTTTAATTCTTCTTTGAAACATCCTGGCAACGAGTTCTCCTGCAAATCCTCTCTTGATTTTGAGCTCGCACCGGTAGCAGAAGAAGAGATTTCAGACGATCGCTTCAGTTATTGGACAGTTTCAATTTTCTTTCCCGTGGAAAGAACGCGCAGGAGGAAATCTGCCAAAAAAATAGATTATCCGTGCGATGCTCATTTTCTCACTGTTCTTACCCCGGAGTTTCTCTGCCCTTTTCCTTGCTCTCTTTTTAATGTGTAAGTTTAAAACAACTGTACCATGTTAAGTATCAATCCTATTCATTTTAATGATACGCCTGTGCAGGAGTGAATCCATTAATTTAATATATCTCTCCTAGATTATAATTACGCCCCGACTGTCGACTATTTGGATCACTTGACTGAATTTTCATTAAGAAGAGCGCTCTATCTGATCCAGCGCGGGACCCGGCCGCATTTGTCGGCTTTTGGGGTGCGGGCAGAGGCCGCTCCCCCCGCACTGCCCTCCGGGGCCGCCCGCCGCCAGGCCCCGCTCCTCCGAGCGCCCGTCCCGAGTGCGGCTCATCAGCGCTGATTTATGAGCCTTGTTAAACACTCATTATGACTTTGCACCTTTTTTCAGCAGGGTCTGGAAAACAACCCCACTTTGTGACAACAGGGCATGTGTCAAACAATTATAGGCGCAGAGGCGATGTGTCTCCGGAGCACCGCGCTCCCCCTCCCTCCCCTTCACGCCCAATCCGAGGGACATTTCTGTGAAAAGATGGGGAAAAAAAAGAAAAGAAAAGAAAAAATCTCGCTCCCTTTTGGTAAATTTAACTCACAGCATCAGCAGCCTCCAGCCCTCGACCGTGCAAACGAATGGTTTGGTTTGTCCAGACAAGCACAAAGTTGCATACCTGGTGGATTCCCTAAATGGAAGCGCGTAGGTACGAGTAGTGCAGGGAGGGATCGAAGTCCGAAACGTTTGACTGCAGTCGGGGTAACAGCTGATAAGGCGTTTAACAAAGATGGTGTTATTCAGACAAAGAGGGCATTACAAATATTCGTATTTGTATCGGGCATTTCTCTCTCTATCAATATATTTTAGCAAACTAAGAAAAACTGTTCTCCTCCCCCCCCAGTATCTCGGCAGTGTGTTCTGATTAATCCTTTATCGGTTGCAACTCGTATTTATTTCTGATAGCAAAGGGAACGCGGAGCTCTTCCTTAGCGCTTTTGCATATGAATTGTTCGAGCTCTGCACACAGGCCTGTATAAACAAGCCGACAAATCTATAGAATGAGTCATCCACCTCTCGGTGTCTGTCTGTCCGTCCGTCTGCCCACCTATCTATGAATATTTTACGGACCCGAACTTAATTAACAACACGATTTCCATTTTGTCTTCGAAATGATCAACTGCAATTACGGGAGATTTTTAAGGTTTGTAATTTGATGTCACCAGACTGTTGCTCGGGGGCAGAGGCACAATTGCTGTGCCAGCTGCAGTTGTATTTATTTGTTTTTCTGTCTTGTTCCTGTAGGGCCGCATTATGCAGGTTTTAATTAGTTTGTGTTTGTATTTCGCCCGTCCCAAATCAATGCCATCCTGGAGCAATGCGATGTAAATTCCTGCGGTACAGGTGTAGCTGCTAGCTCTGGAACACTAGGAAACTCGTGTCTTACAAATGAAAGCAGCGAATGCCATTCAGCCAAACTGTCAGCTTTAAACAGCCAAGAGGAAGGAGATCAAAGCAGAGAGCAGGAACTTCTACTCTCCAGATTAGTCTTTATGGTCTGAACGCCTAATGCTATTAAAGGGAACCAGGACATACAGCACATCGTTGGCTACAAAGTTACTTCTAATTTCTCTAAAGTCCTGCCTTCTTTTGGCCAGTGTAAGCCTTCAGAGCATTTCGAGATGCACTGTTTCCTTTGAGGCCTAGTAGCTACTCATCTGAAATTATGCAGAACTAATACCTTCAGAGACACATTTCTGTTTGTGCACATATTTATATAACTTATCGCCTTTTGAAAGATAATTTTGATTTCCTCCTAGGTTCCACAAAGTCTTTTAATAGAACTTGCAGCAATAAAACCTGAAATTCTAGTATCTCCAGACATGAAAAGTCCCTTTATGTTGTGTTTGGTGTCTCTTCTTTCTTGAAATGACCTCTGTATGGTGGTGTATAAATCTATTATTCCAGTCACTGGGGAATTCTTTTAAAGCTTTCCTTTTTTTTTTCTTTTCTTTTTTTCTTTTTCTTTTTCTTTTTTTTCCAGGAATAAGAGATCGTTCATCTTTAACTAGGCCACATAGAAATTATGATTCAACAGCAGTGTATATTTAATTAGAGTAATCTCACTTGAATTTAATTACCTAATGAATTATTTGTTTAAAAGGTAAAAAGCCTTGTTTGCCAAGTACAGTGCAACCCACTGATAAGAACTTCCGTTATAAGAACATTAATATTTAAAAAAAACATTTTGCTCTTTTATATTTTAACTCTTTGGTTCAGCCAGCCGACGGTGAGCAGCAGCGGGCAGGGCTCCTAGCCTTCCCCCTCATCTCCCTGCAGTGGCCCCGCTCAACCAACGCGCACCGCCCCAACGCGGCGAGAGGGGCCGGGCGGGGGAGCGGCGGTGCGCGGGGGCTGCGCCGGGTTAGGTTCGGGGACAAGCGCTGGTGAGGCTCGGAAAGCGGCTCCGGGGGTGCAGGAGGCTGCGGGAAGGTGCCAGAGTGCACCAGGGTGCAAAGCAGTCACCCTTTTGCTTTATTTATTTATTTATTTATTTATTTATTTATTTATTTATTTATTTCTCCTTTTCCTCCTTTTTCTCATGGACAGCGCAGCCAATGACAACCATTTGATTATTTATAATTCTTCGGCCAAGAAAACAAAAAACTGACCAGCCTCTCCACCCTTGACCTTTCTCCAAGTTTTCCAGCCACCGCACTGTTTGTTTCTAAGACACAACACGAGCAGAGGTGAGCTGCAGCACTTGTCAGGGTTGTCTGAAAGCACCCCACCGCACAGGGGCTATATTATCATCTAATCATTAAACCATTAAGGTTGGAAAAGACCACTAAGACCATCCAGTCTAACCATTATCTGCCCCAGCAAAATAGATAGATAGATAGATAGATAGATAGATAGATAGATAGATAGATAGATAGTAAAATGCATAAGTAAAGAAATAGATAAATATATATATTTTTAATTCAAGACAATCTGTCGTTAGTGTATTCTACTGAATTTGTGCAGCAAAACTTGATCCCTAAAAATAGATACATTTTTCTCTCACACATTTTTTCCCTCCCTTCCTTCCTTCCTTCCTTCCTTCCTTCCTTCCTTCCTTCCTTCCTTCCTTCCTTCCTTCCTCTCTTTCTCTCTTTCTCTCTTTCTCTCTTTCTCTCTTTCTCTCTTTCTCTCTTTCTCTCTTTCTTTTTTGTCTATAGGATTTGACAGTGTAACCTGTAAAAGGGAGCTCTGTGAGGCTGGCTACCTGTTGCTCAGAATGGGCACTTTTGATCCCTCCTCCCCTCAGCACCACTAGGCCCACACTGGAGGTCAGGGAGAATCAAGGGCTCAGTCTCATCTCTCCCCACACCGCAGCGATGCTCTGGCACTACACATTACACCTGATCACTTTGAGAATAGGGAATAGGCATTAAATGGTATCTCTGGAGGTAGCCAAGGGGGTATTTCTCCCTCTTAGCTACCAAGTGTTTCTGTTTAGGAAACAGCAGTAATAGGGAAAGCACACTGTTGGTACTTTTAAGCCATAGGAAAAGAGAGTGGAAGATCTTCGGTAATGTGGAGGCACTAGTTTGAACTAGGACACACATAGTGTTTGGGGGTCCCCAAGAAGTGGCACTGAAGATCTTGGGCAGTTCCACATGACTGGTTAGCCCAAGGGTGCATGTACCACCTGAGAAGAAATGCATCCATAGGGGTGAGGCTGGATATTCACATCCACACCAGTTGGCCAGCTCACTGCAGACACGTCTGCTTAAGTCCTCTGTCCACTGCAGAGCTGCTTGTGCAGTGATGAATTACAACATCGTGCAGCTATGCTCAACCTCGGCCAGGGCAGCAATGGGGCAGCTCCAGAGACCCTCAATTACAGACTGTGCTTGGCAGTCTGGGAGTGCACTGTATGTCAGGCAGGAGCAGAGTGGAAACTCCTGGCCTTCCATTTCCAAGGGCGTCCTGATTTTTGAAGATCTACTAAAAAGAACAGGATACATGAACTAACAGCATCATGGCAGCAGTGAAGCTTACGTGCTCATCAGCATCTCAACTCAGATTTATTGGTGCCAGAAGTACATGGGTCTAATCCTTATTTCATGTTTTCAAGTAGCTATGCCATGTCCTGAACCCAAGAGTCATCTCAGGTCTGTTACATGTGGTGTATAGGCCTCAAAAAACATCAAATCTCACTATTATAATAAAAATGTATAAGGCATTCAAAGCTGACACTGCAGTCATTTCCAAGTCTTGCAGCAAAACTATTAACATTTCTCACAGCCAAAATGCAAGTGAATACATTGCTCTCCTCTACTGTGTGTTCTTTGCACACGGTGTCGTTAGAATCAACTGGCAATTCCACCTGAATTTTTGTAATGACTCAAAGATGTTATGGGCATTATAGATCTGTAGGCCTGGCATTTTAATTCTTGAAGGCCTGTGCTTTCCTTAAAGTTATGAGTATAGTAGTCACAGCACATCCACACAATATTGCTTACTCCATTTATTTTGATAATGAAACACATATATTAACAGATCGTATTTGGCTGTGTGTATTTATTCTTGCCCACTTTGGAAGGTGTGTGCATTTCCACTGTATTATTACTGATAAAATACAGCGCTACCATTTAAATCATGCAGTTATGGAGGACAAACTATTAAATAAACCTTAAACTGGAATTTGTTGAATTAAAATTTTTCACACAAGCTCATTGGATTCTTTTTAATATTCTATAAACAACTTAATTTACAACATCACTCCACTTCTCCTATAGCTTTCTTCTTACATTTCAGCATTAGTAGCAGTTGGTGTATTTTCTTTCTTTGCTTTGCTTTCTTTTTCCTTAGATGTATAGTCATTCTTTTGACTAATATAATTGACTTACGCATCCACTGATGTATGCTGCATTTTAATGATGACTTTTTGTTTTATCCAACAATATTTTTTAATAAGAATCTTGGAATGTATTATAAGTGCAGGTGTGAGCTGTTGCTTTGTTTTTTAATGATCAGTGTAGACCTGGGCAAGATTTTTTTTCCTCTGAAAGATCTACACTCAGATCAGACTATTCATTTTTAGGCGTTAATACGCTTGCATGAATTCCTTTGTATAGGCTTGCTGAACTGTAATTAGCTTTCCTATTCTGTTTCTCTTCTCTACATTAAAATGTTGAAGTCCATGAAACCCATACCTTTTGGATTTGTTTTTTTCTAATAACACAAAAATATATTTTAATGTCAATGCAGTTTAAGCCTGGTCTGTATGAAACAACATTAGTCCATTATAAACATTGCATCAGGATAACACTGAGGTCAGAAATAAAGGAGTTTAAAAAATAACAGTAATTTAGTGAAAATACTTTTACTGAAATATAGCATTGTGAGAAAATTCTGACATATTTGTTGCTTAGAACAAATATTGACTGGTGGATTAAGAATACAGTTTTTCTTATCAAGAAAGTCCTTTGCTGAATGATTGGTTAGCTGCTCTGAGAAACAGGAAACCATACGGTTCAATTTTCATTTTTTTTTTTTCTATTTAGAACAGGTTTTCCATGGTAGTGAAATTACTGTGGCAATGACTAGAACTTAATATGCAGCCACAGTCTGCAGCATTGTATTCTACAAAGTATCACTGAGTTTACTTTATTGATTCATTGCATTTTTTTCTTTCCTGAAACTGCTGTTCCCCATCTCATGTTACACTTTATTTAAGCACGGTACTACTCTACCAGAGATGGCATTTTTAAAAATTTTGCCTGGGGTTGAGAACACTCAAATAATAATAAGAGCATCACATCTCACGTTAATTTTTCATGCATAACTAGGCTGCTTCAATTTACAAGACAGTATGGATAGATATATAGTAGTTGTTATGATTATTTTTTTCCACATGCATTCTACTGTTTTCTCATATGTTTTGCATTGCTCCCAGACAAGATAAATTTTAGAAGTCTAAATCATGATGTTCAGAGACTTACAGACATTATTAAGAACAGTCAGAAATTATGAGCGTTTATAAACACAACAGGCCCAAATTAAGACCCTAAGCTTAGCAGCTGGAAGCTTTCTGAGGTTAATTACCACATGAAAAGAGAAAATATGTAAGGAACTATGTACTCAATGTATGCTGCACCCTCAAGTTAAAGAGGCTACCAATGGAATAAAATATTGGTCAATGTGAGTATAGATCTGGACCTCTATCCTTAAATCCAAACAAATAACACCTGGGCTTTTTTGGAAGATTGTGAGATACTTGAATAAAGCCAGGTAAAAAAAAAAAACCCTAAGCACAGCAAATGTTTTGAAGGTAAGGAAAGTAAAAGGCCGTATCCTGCAGAACTGGGCTGATAACAGGTAGGAAAATATTTACTTTTGTTTCTCTTCTTATTTATTTCCTCAGCTTTTCCATGAGTATCACAGACAGCAATAAGATCATTCAATTTTTCACAGGTGTGTTTTCTTTTCTCTCTCTCTCCTTGTCTAGATCAACAAGTGCAAGTATTTACAGTAGTTCATACTGTGCTGGCATCATTGTTGCAACTGCACTAACATGGAACACTGTTACCATAAACATTTCTATAGTAACCTTAATAATTCCAATACTTCATGGAAGTAGTTGCACTGGTGTAGTAGACAGTGCCAGCATAATTCACAACAATCTCACAATCCTTACAAAGCCTGCACTGTGCAATTTCCTTCTTCTTCATATAATTTACTTGTTCTGAACCACTTCTTGTTTCATATAGTGATGAATATCAGCTCATTTAGTTCAAATAAAATAATCTTTCCAGATATTGATTGGAGCTCTGACTAGTCCCCGCTCCATGAATCTGTTTTAGGACCTGTTGGGAAGCTTCCCCATAATGCAGTGCCACTGAGTTTTGATAAACAAACTTCTGTGTTAATATAACAAACAATTTCCAGAGAGTGCACAGAGGTTTGCTGAGACTTTCTTGCACTGTTACAAGTTTATTCACTCTTTTAAACTGTGAAAAGCTCTGTGGATGTGAAAAAAACCTTTCTAGCAGAAACTGAATTATTCACTGGAAGAGTGTGGTCAAGATTCCTTGCCATCTCAATTTCACTCCTGTTTTGTTTGCTTGTTTCCTTTTGTTGTGAATTGTTATGAGTGAAGCCTTGAAGTCCTGGAAGCAGAACACACAGATTATTTTCTTTCAATATGGCACAGAAGCAGAAGAATAGTCCTTTCTTGGGGGAAGGAACAGCACAGCATTGAGAACAATATTGGGCTCCTGGTTTTTACTGACAAATAGAGCTGCTAATAATGTCACTTGCAGTGACAGATAAAACTTGAACATTACTAGTTAGTTTCTTCTGGAATACAGCATTTTTCTCTTAATTGTACTTTATTTTTCATCATTCCTCTTCAGGCCTTCTCCTTTCTAATCCTTTGCCCATGTATTGCCATTTTTTCCTTCCTTCTTTCCATCTTCTGTGTTTCTATTTATCCGTCTCCTCCAGCTCATTTTTCTCAACTCCATATTTGACTCTACATTAAAACCACTCATGCCTTTTTGGCTGTTTTTATTGAAAGCGGCATCCCCATATTCTTCACGCTTATAATGTGGAAAGAGAGCTGGAGGCACTGCAAAAACCACTCTCCGGTTCAGATCCTAAACCCAAGAAGTCTCAAGGTGAGCAGACCACTGACTGGCATATAAAGCTCCAAGGGTTGTGACTGTGGAAATAATTTCTTTTAGGAGAAAGTTACTAGTGGAGACCCCCATAAGTTCATGGGAGGACCCATACTGTTTCTTATCAACCTAGGAGCTCACGAAGAGTGCACCTTTAGCAAAGTTTGC